TTTTTTTTTTTTTTTGCTTATAGACGTTGGCGGAAGTTTTCCGATGTTTCATTTGTATGGAAAAGCTGAGGGACGCACATCTATGTCCCCACTGCAGTAAGTTGTGCTGTTATACCTGCATCAGAAGATGGCTCACCGAACAACGATCTCAATGTCCTCACTGCCGTGCTTCTCTACATTTGCACGAATTGGTGAATTGTCGCTGGGTTGAAGAAGTTACTCAACAGCTTGACACGTTGCAAGCTGTTTGCATATCCAACTTTCGACACGATGACTCCAACAGAGACAGGTTTGTGCGTGAATGATAATAAAATTGTTACTTATTAAGTTCAACAGAGAATAATATTTGTTATTATTAGATGCACATTGCATCAGGAAAAATTATCTGTGTATTGCTGGACTTGCTGCAAATGTATCTGTCACCAATGTGCTCTGTGGGGTGGCACCCATTCAGGACATACTTTTAAACCTCTGGAAGAGGTTTATGAGCAACATGTTACACAGATCAAAGCTGAAGTAGGTCAGTTAAACAGACGACTCATGGAACTGATCAGTCTTGTTCAAGAAGTGGTAAATATGATGATTTAATTATTGTAAATACAATAATTTGCTAATAATACATTTTAAAATATATAACAAAGATCTAAGAACAAACTTAAATTTGCAATTTTTGTTATTAAAGGAAAGAAATGTCGAGTCAGTAAGAGCTGCCAAGGACGAAAGAGTCAGAGAGATCAGGAATGCAATAGAGTTGATGATAGCTCGTTTGGATTCTCAGTTGAAGGCAAAGCTGCTGACCTTGATGGGTCAGAAGAACTCACTGACTTTGGAGACTGAACAATTGGAGGCTTTATTACAAGAGGTGGAATATCAATTACATACATGCACACGTTCTGAGTTGATTATCAAGAGCGCTGAGCTTTCTCGTAAAATAAATCAAGTTCGCAAGAAACCAATGACGAGTTTTGTCACCGCACCTGTACCTGCTGACTTTCACAGGCAAGATTTACAAAATAATTCATTGATTAATCACGCATATGATACATATCTCACATTTATAACTGTGATTGTCATAAACGAAACATTTTTATATGTGTATATCATTTTCTTGCAGTGAGATTGTGCCGGGTTATGACAGCGCGACGTTTGCTATGCAAAACTTCACACAACTCCAGCTCAAAGCTGATCCTGTGTATTCCGCGCCGTTGCACGTGAACGGACTGTGCTGGCGTTTAAAGGTATATCCGGATGGCAATGGAGTGGTGCGCGGAAATTATCTGTCAGTATTCTTAGAACTTAGTGCCGGACTGCCAGAAACTTCGAAGTACGTGCACTTTTTACAAATAACAAATTGCAAAATCTTTTTGCACAATATTACTTGCTTGTATTGTGGAGACCATGGCAAGACAATTATATATCTTTTTAAAAAAAAAAAAATTATTTTTTTTACAGATACGAATATAGAGTTGAAATGATTCATCAAGGCTCTCGCGATACGAGTAAAAACATTATCCGTGAATTCGCGTCCGACTTTGAGATCGGTGAATGTTGGGGATATAATAGATTCTTTCGATTAGATTTGCTTGCGACGGAAGGTTATTTGAATACGGAACTGGATACTCTTATATTAAGGTATATATTTTTTTTTATTAATTTTTTATGTAACAACAAGATAGTTGGAAAGTTAAATAACTTATATATCAAATGAATACAGATTTCAAGTACGACCACCGACGTTTTATCAGCGCTGTAGAGACCAACAGTGGTACATCAGCCAACTGAGAACAGTTCAAAATCAATATGCTGCTCAAATTAACGAATTAAAGGAGGTAGATAATGTTCATAAAATAAGTAAATTTTATGTGCCCTTTGCGCCAGAATGAGTCAGTTGTACACAACACAACTGGTTTTTTTTTTTTTTTAGAGGCTAGCAATAGAAATTTCTCGCAATGCTGTGGCGGCTACCAGAGCCACTAACGTGATTACAAATGCCACATCTTCATCTACGCAACAACAGCAACAAGAGGCAGGTGATTCAAAGATCAATTTGAATACCACACGAACGATCGACGCGTATTCTACCGTGAATGGAACACCATCGAGGTATTAAATACCATGATTTAAATCTCAAATAGTTTATATCAAAACAGTAAGTAGTAAACATATATAAACATATGTTCCTAAGATAAAAATTACAAATTAAACAGTAGTATTTTTTTGTTCGAGTTAACAACGAATTTCTGTTTCTGTTCTCTTAATAGGTCGATGCCAAATACACTTGCCAACAGTAGCGGCATGATGTCGGGCGATCAACTGATGCCGATGTGCGAGTTGGGCGAGCTCTCGAGTATGCACGCTCTCGGCTCGACGTCGGCGATGTCGAAAATGTCACTGAAGTCGCATCGCGCCAGCAACAATCTCAACGTCGTCGAGATCGATAATACTCCGCCGTTGCGTCGCGCCAACGACATATCGCTCGGAGAATGTTCAGCCGCAGGGCTTCATCTCGCTTCATCGTCACCGTATTCGCCCAATGTTCAGCCGGCATTGAACTTGATGACCAACAACAGCGCCAGCGATCCTCTGTTGTCCACATCGGCGTTATCGTCGATAACAGGTAACACGCATCGGGTCAACGTCACGGAGAGCGAAGTCGCGCAACGTTGCAACGACACGTCACCCGGAGAATGCCAGGTCACCACGGGCGACGGTGTTCACTCTCCGTCGCCATTCTACCTGTCTCCGACGTTGAATCTTTCATCCAGCAGTAGCAGCAGCAGCGAGAGTGGCGTGAGTATATTTTTTTTTAAATCAATTTTGTGTGCTTTTAACGGACTTAAAAAAATCCTTCGTCATGTGTTCATCACAGGAATTGAGTGAACACGACATTTATATGGACGAGTGCGAACATAACGAGCCGACCATTACCACGCTCTTGGAGATGACGAATGACGAAAATGACGTAGATGACGAAACTATGTCAGGTATGAGAATTACACATATAAAGCTGTGTGTGTTGTATTGTTAAAACAATATACACATTTAACAACAATAAAATATTGCGCACAAATCAAACAAATAATGAGAATCAATTACTTGTCGCATGTTTTTTTCAAAAACACTGAGCAATATATTGCAAAATTAGGTGGTAGCTCGAACAGAGCTTTTTCCAGAAGCGTGCAAAGGCGAAAAACGATCGATCGAGACGTTGAGAATGAAAAACTCACGAATCAGAGCCAAGACGAAGATTGTGTCAAAGAAACTATCACATCTATTATATCCAATAACTTTTATTCAACTTTGTAAAATTCTACTCTCATTTTAATATTTGAATTATTTAATTTTTTATTCTGCTTTAAATTATTCCGTTGTATCTGTGTTCTGATGTGTAATTTATTATTATATTGAATTATCTAAATTATAAAAGAATATATCTTACATGTAACTGTTTGGCAATTATATAAATTATTAAAGCGCTGTAATTAATTAATACTCGCAATAATGCACAAAAATTATGAAAACTTTAATTATTTAGACGCAGCTGTCACAATGGAGACTTCTTATTTCTCAAGTAATGCGCAAAATTTGTTAACATTATTCCCAAACAACGTAATATAGTCATAGTGACGTGTAATTAAAGATAAATTTACTGTTTGCAATTATGGATAAAAATCAATATTTTTAGGAGAAAACGACGTCGAAGTCGCGGAATCTCTCGTATCTTTGCTTCAAGATAAACGGCGCACAAAACAACAAAGCAACACAGAGATCGCTACTGACTTACGCAGGTATTTACTGCGTTCTATTGGAGTATAATTTATAAAAAAAAAACACTATAGAACAAGTAAAACTAATTTCTTGTTATCACAAGATAATAATGCTGAGTTTTCTTACAAATCAGACTCAGAGACTTGCTGCAGCTGTTCGAGATGCAAGAAAGAAACGCGTGGACCTCTTCGTGTCAGCAAATGGACGAAATTTGCGACTCCAGATTCACCAACATGCTGTCACGAATCGAGGAACTCGCTCACAAGACAACTGTCGCTTTAAGTCACCATTTCAGTCCGTCACATCGCAACGTCGCTGTGCAGTCTAACGCGACCGCGGCGTATCCGCACAAACACTCCGATCTCGACGCCACGACTTGCACTGATCTGAATCAAAATGACAGACAACATTCCGGCTGCAACTTTCCTCAGTCGCAAGCAATTAACGGCGCCAAGACCAAACTGAACCGACTGCCGAACATTTGTCTGTCAGAATTGGCGGCCACGTTACCATCCAGCAGCCACACAACCAGATCCGAACCAGCGACACGTTCCAACTCGATAGAATGCGAGAAGGATGTTCCAAAATTAACAGTAGTTAACAAAGTCAATCGCGACACGGACTCATCTAGATCGCGATTAGATCTAATAGTGCCAAATGGTTAGTGAAAAAAAAACATAATAATGTGCGAGTGTAGATAATAAAATAACTGTAAGAAGTAATTTCGTAAATTTCTTTGTTTATTCTTAAGCAAAATTGTTGAAACACGGGATTTAAATATGATTTTCTGAAAATTGTATTGTTTTAGTACTTCTAGACAGTAACAAAATCATGTCGAAGCATTTACTGGCGCGGCATCAGTCGTCACCCAGCTCGTCCAATAGCATGAATTTAACAACCGACAGCAAGATATTCGAATTCGATCAGTTACTCGAAGCCATCAACTTGTCATCGGGATCGCAGAAAGACGCGTCTGCTTGCGGAGTAAAATCGAAGTAAGATCAAGGCTAAGCTCAATTAAAAACAAACTTTCAAAAAAAAATATATATATACATATTTAATATAATATATATATACAGAAAACATACTTTGCCCGATGGCAAGAGCAACGTCTGCATTGGAACCTCCACCGCACTTTCGTTGACGCAGGAAGGCACGTCGTCATCCACAAACACAGCAGACGGTATTCCCAGTCCCAACAATTACAGTTGGTCACCGGCGTTATACCAACGCACACACGGCAAGTATTTGTATAACTTTATTCTTTTAATATAAATAACTTCCAAGTTTTCATCTTCTTAATTTTACATTTAAGTCATTGATTTTACAGGACAAAAAGCTATTTTAGATGTAGCAGTGCAAGGTTCATCAAATGATGTCTCTAGTAAAACGATTGACAAGTAAGTGAGGTTTATGTTGAATTGTGTTTTAAAAAATATAAAAATATAAAAAAAAAATTATATAAAAATATAATTTTAATCACATATTCTATACATGTTAAAACCAGTTACAATTCTCTTAATTTTAATTGTCAAAATTTTATTTCTTTTTGTAGATCTGCGGAAGAAGCTGCCAATTCGCCGTAATAATTTGTAACTTAATAGTAACATAGGATAGTCTTTTCTCTTCTGTGATTTCTATTTCAGTAAATGTTAATCTTGAGATTGAGATAAAAGGAAATTATTTTGCCAAATAAGAATAATTTTAAGATATCATTTGTGTGCATTGTATGTCTGATTTTCTTTGCTTTTGGAAGAGAGGTTAATAGAAAATATCACATCTTACATATATGTATTGCAAAAAGTATTATATTTAATTTAAGTAATTTTTTTTCAGTTCTTTACATACAAAATTATTTCCACGATTCATTCCAAAAAAAAGTGTGAAGTAAGTTATTTATTTAATGTTATTTATTTTTTACCTGCAATCATGAGAAAACGTACACGTATGAGAAATTGTATTTCTAGAAAATAAATAGAAGGTATGAAATAATAAAATGCAGTCAAGTTTATATGTAACTTATGCTAAAACTTTATTTTACATATTCATTTTATGCTAAAATTTTATTTTACATATTCAATATTAATTTAGTATCATTTCTAAATTTATGAGGTAGATATTCCATTTATTTGAGCAGTGTGTTGTATGAGTACAGATATAATCAATTCGATCAAAGAAACCAACCCTGGAAATTCCTTGAAGGACAGAGTTGTGCTGGAGATATTCAATGCAGCAGTCTTGTGTGAAAACCGATTTTAAATCAACTTATATATATATATATGTACAATTCTTGTGCTTTACTTTATATAAATAACAATAAAACGATCAAAAACAACAGGTTTTACTTGTAGATCTTTGAGCCCAGAAAATACTCAAAAAAAGTGTTTTCTGAATACAGATAGTGCAGGTAAATCATAGTAATCTTTTAAAACACTATTTTATCTTATTTGTTTATGCTTCTCTTCTTGTTCTTTCTATGATAAGAAACAGTTGAGAGTATTTCAAAGTAACGATTAAATCGAATTATCTTGTTTGTCCCAACAGACTAGTGTTTACTATTTCAAGATGTAATGAGCTTCCATGGAATCCATCTGTATGTCAGTATACAAGTTACAACATAAAGTTGTTCAGTAGATTCTGTTGTTGTTTTTTATGTTTCTTAATGAACAATCAGGGACTTAGAGTTCCTTGGAGAGTATATCCGCAAGTAAAAAAGAAAAACTATTCATTACATGCACATAATTATCCTAACAAAGAGAAACGTTTATTATCATTCTTCTATTTCTTCGTTTTCCTCTATATTACTGTTACTGTTATCACGATATTCTTCATCTGCGCGGCTGTCATCTTGGATTTCGTTGCTTACATCCAGTATCCCAAGGTCATAAAGCACCTCGTGCACTACAATCGATATATCTTCGCCAGTTAAAGGAGCAATCGCGTGCGTCTCGTAGTCGTACTTTTTTGTTAAAGTATTCAGATGATGCAAAACAAACTCCTTAAAAGCTCTCTCAAAACTTTTCACGTATTCTTCAGGCATTTTCGGTTCTTTCTTTCTCTGGCACAATAGAATTCCAATAGTGTATACACACACACAAGTGAAATATAATTTGAACTTCTGACCTCTTGAACTTCTTGAATCACCTTGTTCTTTATTATCGGTATAATTCGATTTTATTTCAATGAAAAAATAATAGAGAGATAGCGAGCGAATATCGAAATAAATAACGATGAACTTTCTCAAACCACACTCAGTACGCCGAGGATTATTGACTTGGTCTTTTTGTGATCTTTTGACTCTATTCTCGCTATCTGTGTGTTCTTGCGGCCTGCTATTTACATTTTTCAAAATTTTCTCTTAACACTCTGGGCTGTGTTTCGATTCCCCCACCCGAGTGCATCCGAGTGTCATTTTATCTTTGTTTCATATCTAGTGAGTGATAAAGATATAAAGTATACCCCCGGGTGAGGAATCGGAACATAGTCCTAGGTGCGTTCGGGGAGCGCGTTATCAGCGCTGTTGCATCATTCTATCTTTATTGCTCATTAGACGTAAAACAAAGATAGAATGACGCAATAGCGCTGATAGCGTGCGCTCCGAACGCAACCTCTGGGTACGGTCAAAGTTTCACTGCAAATGTTTCGAAGCATCATTCTATCTTTATTTTTCGTTAAATATAGAATAAAGATAGATAACTAGCATAACAGGCGCGCGTTACGCGCACACCGTCGTTATATTTATATATATATATATATATATATACCGTAATCACGTGACCGAAGTCAGTAACACCGCCGCGGTCGCGCGGCCGAGGTCAGTGACTCCACCGAAGTCGCGCGACCGAGGTCATTGACCCCGCCGCGGTCCCGCGACCGAGGTCAGTGACTCCTCCCACCACGGTCGCGCGCCCGCGGTCAGTGACCCTCCCCCCACCAAGGCCGCGCGGCCGAGGTCAGTGCCCCGCCAAGGCCGCGTGGCCGAGGTCAGTGACCCCGCCAAGGCCGCGCGGCCGAGGTCAGTGACATTACTGTAGTATGTATATAATACATATAATACAATATAAAGTATAATATTATAAATATATAATAAATTATATGTATAATATGTATTTATTTAATGTTATATATAATATAAATTACAATCACGTTATTTTCACGTGTTGTTTTTCTACTCTTTCCTGTCACGTGACTTTAGTTACGTTTTTAATTTTCTCTACATATACGACGAACTGTCTCAAAATCGCTTTCCATTATTTACTCTCTCGATCTTACCGATTCGATTCGACTCGATCAACCAACCAACCAATCGGCAACGCGAAAAAGAGGCAACAATAGATGCGATACATTCGGCTTCTGTGATTTGTCTGTGATTAATCAATTTTTTACGGCTTACATCTTACGACTATATTGTAGAATAGGCCTTAGTGAACAATCACAATCGACGCTCGGTCAATCGAAGGAAGTTGGTCAAACTGGTCTTGAAACTTTGCTGTTTCCCATCCGGAGTTTGTTGGCACCATTGGCACTAAGCTGCCAATGCGTGCGCGTTTCTCATAACGCATTGACAAGGTTGTTTTCTAAAAAATTCTGATATTTTGCCATGGCGAGCGAACCGGTGAAGGAATGGAAGATCGGTGGTTATCCTCCGCAATACGATCCTGTGAAACACGGGCCCTACGATCCCGCGCGTTATTACGGAAAAGGTAAGTTTGTTCTCGCGCTTGACGTATACGTATTTTCTTTCTCTTTCTCTCCTTATGAGATATAGCGCAAAGTAGCAATCTTATATAATACTCCGTTTTTTTATTTACAGCTGATACTCCATTCCTGGATCTGAAACTCAATGAGATTCCTTCTTGGATTTCGAGACGTGAAAAAACTCCTTCGTCTATTGCCGGACTGTTTTCACGAGGTAATTCCGATGCGAGAGGAAAATTGTCAGTTTATCAAACTTGCATAACTGATCATTTCATTTCACATGATTTCAAGAACTTTAACAGGAAATCTGTTCTTTGCAGCTGCACTGTGTTATATTTTGTAAAGTCAAAAAGTAAGATTGACACATTGTAGATGACAGAAAAAAGAGAGAAGAAAGTGCAGCTACAAAAGACGATTTCTCTGACATAAAAGCTTTATACAAGTCTTATCTTTCAAGATTTTACACTGATATTCATAATTGAGTCTTATATTTGCAATTGTCTTAAACTTATCTTTATAGATAGTGTACAAGTTGTTTCATTGGCTCTGCATCTGAAAATAAACTTAAGATGATATTAAATATAGGATTTAATTATGGAAATTGATTTTAATTTTGTGTGTTTATACTGTGCAGCATTTTGGCGTTGGCAACACAAGTATGCGCAGCCTAGAAAAGGTGGTGTGGCTCCATTTTTCCAAGCGACAGTGGGCTGCATAATTTTCTTCTATGTCATCAATTATAAGAAATTAAGTAAGTAGAATGATACAAACTGATTTAAGTTTTAACATATATATATATGTATATATATGGACACAACTCTAAATTCTTCATGTTATTTCATTTCAGAGCATCACAAGAATTATAAATATCACTAATTGAATTCTACTGTAGAGATATTCTAAATGTTACATACATTATATATATACACGCTGCAGCAAAGAATTTCATGTATCAATTTGTGAAACATTAAAAGTGTCAGAGTGTTTAAATAAACATTCTTAGTATGTACAAGAAAATATACGATTTGTTGTATTGGCTATAATGTTTCTAATATTTTATGTAACCTTTATGTTTAATTAGTTGTTTTTTTTCGTGACAGAATGAATTTGCACAAATGCTGGCACACATGGATTCAGCAATTGCAACGCACAAAAATACATTGAAATTTAATAAGTTGGCACACCAATACGCAATATAACTTTTTACTTTTGTTTGTCTTATTTAGATTAATTAAGAGTTATTTTTTGCGTTAAAATTTTTCAGAAGCAGAATAAACTTTTGGATCATCATTTATACAAGTTTGATTTTTATTTAGAATTTACAATGGCACTTTTCAATAATCTCAGTTGGGTAAAAGCGTAGAAGAACAAATGTGTATAAAGTAGTTACAACATTGCACTTTGGTAACTTATATATGTGAAACGTGTGTAAGGTATGTAATGTCTCTAACGCATATGTAACTATAATGAATTATATTACAAAAACTAGCTAGTTTTTATCTATACACAGTTCTCGGGATTGGTTGTGTTTTGTATATTCTATGATTAATATATCTGTTTTTTCTATAGTGTTATCAGTAATAGGTAACACTTGTTGTTTTCGCGACTTTTCTTTGTTACTTTTATTATACTTTGGTGTGAGATGTGAAAATATGCACTTTTATAAATATTTAATAATAGAATCCCTACATATATATATGTGCGTAGAAGAATATAATAGTTAATATTGCATGTTCGACTGTTTCGTTCTATATAAACGAGTGTTGTACAGAATCTCGAAGTGTGTTTAAAAAAAATAGTTTTACATATATTTCTAATCATAAACTTATCACGCACGTATTTCGCATATCATTTTTTTTTATCAATATTACTAGTTTTTTGTTCACACTCTCTTTCATACAAACACCGAGTACTCTTTCTCCATCTCTTTCAACATGTTGTGAAGTCGTATTTTTAAACTATCAGACGCCGCAGCACGCGGTAAATGCGTTGTATCACCGTCTGGATTGGCGCATTGTCTCAGTAATACGGCCAGCGTGCTGGTGGTGTGCTCCGACATAAGTAATCCGGGAATAATTATCGTTCCCGAAAGCGTCCATCCGAGAAAGATCTTCTCGCAGACGATCTGGAAGCACATGATCTATATCTTTCTCCGCTAAACTTGACAAAAACAAATCGAACTTTACGTCACGAGGTAAACAAAATTAATTATAGAAATATTCTTTTATTATATCATTAAGAATAATTTATATATGTATGTTCTCCTTGATTGATTTTTATGTCTCATCGTTATCTCTCAGAATATTTTTTTCATACGCACTACTTGTCTATACAGACTGATTACCGCAAAGCGTTCAATGTCACATGAATTTATTACGCTATACATTCGAGCACATTATATAAGCGCCTATGTATACTATCAATGATTACCTGTAGATTATTATTGAGAACCGGTGATTCACAGCGTTTGTTTCTCGAACACGTTGACCGGCAGTCAAAATAATCACAATCTTCGTGTTTCTCACAGCTCTTGCCGTTGGCGACGATACGGTCAGCGATGGGTTTCGGGAAGACCGCGTCCAGATCCAAGAACTTGAGCTTTTGCCCGCCCAACGGCAATCCGAAGTGATTGATCTTCACGTCGCAGAGATGAAGCGGTTCCGGAAAATTGGTCTGTAACTCCTCGAGCAGATTGAAGATCATCACCGCGAGCTTCAGTCTCTTGGCCCACTCGGGTTTCGAGTCGGACAGGGCCAGCACCGTCGTGGGCGTCTCGATCGGCCTGACGTACTCGACCGCGTAGAAGGTGCCGCACGTTCCGATCAATTGCGGGAACACGTCCTTGTCCTCGTGCAAGATCGTCATCAAGTATTCGTTCTCCTGCAGCAACGGCCAGAGATTCTCCATCTCGAGTAGACGTCTCGCCTCGTCCGTCTCCACCCGGTAAGTACGTAAACGCGCGAGTCTCTCCAGTTCGCGTTGCGACACGGTCATGTTCAGTTTAGTGATAACCAGATCCTTTATCATGACGATAAAATTCTCCTCGGACGGGAAGTGTCGAAAACCGGTCGGGTCCACCCAGTAAAGCGACTCGAATTGCTCCGTGAGTGTCTTTGTTCTGATACATGAATATTTACACGAAAATTGAAGAGAAACGTTTGTCTCAGTGTTACATGTAAGATAAACGACGAAAGCTACTATGCGATTTCTAGTCTACATATAAAGCATTGCGGAACAGAAGGAAACACCTCGAGGCCTTAAACACAAGCGGAGTTGCTTCCCAGTGCGCGGAAAAGACCGCCTCTTTGCCCGCGTGGAGCGTCTCGCACGCCAGTGAGTGTATCCCCTTTTCGGCGCACAGCGGCTCGCAGAGAATTCCCATCGCGGAGCCGTCCCGATGCTGGCTGCACTGTAACGAGAATTGAACAAATCGGTAAACACATAAATTAATACGTTTTTATAAATTAATAAGTTTGCGACTTTCAGCGCCGCGAATAGGTTCAACGCGCCGTTCAATGAAATGTTACCTCATCATAAATTTTAATATATTTGTTTATTGCTGTTTATTATTTTTTCTTTACATCTGCTTTTTAATCTTTATAAACTCTCCGAATATTTCGTGCTTTCTTTTTGTTTGTTGTTACATTTTGAATTTTGCACACGTCTCTCTTACTCTTGAGGGGACGCTCGCTCTGTCCCCAGAGCGCGTTACAAATAAAAGCATTCAATCAGTCAATCAATCAATAACCGCTCGCGATACAAGGCGCAGATCATTCAGAGATAATCCTCCACATCCTCTAAAAACATACGTCAGGGTTCATAGGCCAAGGTCAATCGCGTAATGTTATCCTCGATACTTTCAAGATTTTATTCGGACAATTTGTAATTTTGCAATTTTTTCGCGAGACCGATCTTCGCTGTGTATATATCATCATTTTTCGAACGTTTATATACAGTCTCGGAACGGAATAGTAGTAGGCGTAGGTTTCTCTTCTTCAACCGAGCCGCTCGGAATTACGAGAATCGAGAGCAGTAAAAGAGTTATTGCTCTCACGTGGGCGCCGTCAAGTATGTGCGCGCGGTTGTGTGCCGCCGCACGACGACGCTCGTATTCCACCGGTTCCGCGCACAAACTTGATCGCGCGCGTGTATAGCATAGCAACTTATAATGTTGTACAAGCTCGTTGTTCGTCGTGCGGTGTATATTTTTAGTCGGTCCAATCGTTCGGTTGTGCGACGACTCTCGACCGAGAGGGGAACGTCATAATACATATGCACGCACGTTGCGCGTGTCTCCGTTGCGCATCTTTCGTTCCGAAGCGGCTTATCGAAAAAAAAACTCTCCTGAAATGTAACGAACTTATCATTGTTGTTTCTTACGTTTCACGGATTTTTTTTTTTTTTTTTTTCGAGTAGATTCCTGCGCGTTGTCGCTGAATCTTCTTTTCGCGGGGGAATAAGACGCAATAATCGATCGCTTCCCAAAAAGGAATTGGTTATTGAACGACAGACGCCGCCGTGTTGTATTGTAGCTTTTATTCCGCAACGATTACGCGTGCGTCGGTCGAATATTATATAAGTGATTTTCTTAATTCTACACCAGGGGATATTCTTAGACTAATAACATACGAGAAAACATGCAAGTCTTCACGTTCTCCGATAAGATCGCTGTGGGATCTTTGGATTCTTCTTCTGCAATTGTGTGTTCACTGAAAACATGCGTTTTTTTATGCGTTTCGTGACTTGAAATTTATTCCCCTCTTCTGCAAATTATTATTACTGAAGTTTACTACGTATATGTATATTTACATATTGTATATGCGTGTGTATATTATTTAAATAATATGTACATTATTAACACATGTTGCGCGTCAATTTACAACTGAATTAATTAATTTTTTTCTTTGACTATTCTTGATGTCACTTGGGTTTCACAAGTTTATACAAAATTATATTGTTGTGCGACTTTTAAAAAATTGTGCTGCGAGAGCATCTGCAAGTTAAATAAAAACGTCCGCTTTGACGTCGTGCTCTTTTCAACGCGGAAGCTGTGCGGAGAGAGTACGCGTGCGTCCGTCCCGCTTTACCGGCGCGCAGGATTCACTCGCACATTTTCATCGCACACACACACACACATACACATACACATACACGTTTCCACCCTCTGTGCGGTAACCCCTATTGCGTAATCGGTCTCGCGTTCGGGGAAGATTTTTTGGCAATCGCGTCCGACGTACTTGTGGCGATGATCTATCGATCGTCATCGCTCCGATCAAAGTGAAACTCAGCTGACAAGTGAATTGACTCACCACGGTGGACACGTGACGCCAGGCCTCGAGATTCGTGCACATTATACCCCAATGTAGAAGCAGGTAGACGACGAGAAACAGACCGGACAGAAGTAGGACCAGCGCGAATTTGTAGTGATACATGAAACCAGGCAACCGGCGGATGTTCATGACTGCGTTACCGATGATCGTCAGATTCCTGACGGTGATCAAGGCAAGTGTGTGGATCTGAATGAAGTTACCCCCCTTTTTCCCCCGGTTTTTTTTGGTTTTTTTTTTTTGTTTTTTTAATTCTATCGACTCGTTCTTTTCATCCTCGTCGTCTTCCACGGCGACTTCATGTCGACATTTCCGTCCGGTGCCGCGAAACCCGGAGATGTGCCGAGGGACCGCGCTGGCCGCGAACGTCAATGACGGACGTTTGCGGCAATGCGGCATAATCTGCGGCACACGCGAGATCCGAGGCGGCGAGGCGTCGCGACGCTGCGCCTCTCGCGGCGAAATCTCTTCTCTCTCGATTCTGCCAGGGCCGTGCGCCGGGAATCGCATCTCCCCGAGAGAAACGAGAGCGACGGGGTTCTTTCTCACCGCGGGCGGCGATGATTTCCGCCTTGAATTTCAGTTTTTACACGTCTTTTTTAGTTGCACGCGCTTGCGTGCTGGAGACAGTTCCAAGTACGTGTTTCGACGATGTCGCGTTTACTCTTCAATGTGTCTAATATTCGCACATTCTCGTCGCGCAGCCGCGCGAATTAACAATCGCGCACTGCGCGAAACCGCGACCAGCCGGAATTATACAGAGACTACTGCGGGATTAGCTTTGAGCGTGTAATTAACCGCTTGGCGCCACGATGTTGTTCTTCTCCGTAGATGCAATCCGGAATTAAAACAGCTGACAATGAGACACGTCTCGAGCGCTGCTGCGTAGAATGCGTTCTGGAAACTGCGACGTTGATTTTCTGTGCGAGTCTTCGCCTTTTGTCGACTGTCTATTTTTTCTGTCAAAAATTTGAATGTTTTTTTTTTTATTTAAATATGTTTGTTTGAATACGTTTAATTTTGCAGATCGCATTGCAAACAACTTTCTTCGATCGATCGATCTCCCGTGAGGTCTGTCTTTTGATGACACGCCGATTCAAAATGTTTTTCGCGTGTTGCCGCCGATATCGCGCGGCAATTTCCAAATAGCGCGCGCGCAACCGAACGCGCGAGCGAGCGAGCTGACGAGACAGAGACGCACCTGCGTGCCACGGCGCGCAGCTGCGACCTTCGACGCCCTTGTACCGTCGACGGTTTGTTCCGGCGGGAGAGACGTTGGCCGTCATTTTTATACAAGACGCACGATCACTTAGAGGTCCACGTCGTCGTTGCTCCGCGTTGTTGTCGTCACACTCGTTCGCTCGCACGTCTCGCGTTTTTTTTTTTTCCATTTCAACATTTCAAAGTCTCACGTCAAGTCGAGAAAGCGCGGAAGTGTTTTTCGCGATAGAGGCGCGGGGACGTGTCGTCCGAGCGCGTGTGCGGTTTCGCTTTGCCAAAAAAGGAGTAAAAACAACGAGAGAGGCGACGCTTTTCCTCGAGACTCTCGGTGAGTGCAACGGCGCGCGTGTGTGATGATTCCCTCGCTTTTTTTTCTTGCACGGAAAATGTTATTCAAACATTTACATATATGTGCGATAACTTTCGAATATATTACAAACACGTAGAAGAGTTTGTTACACAGTAAATCCAACAGCTTGGGTACGTGCTCCTGGAATTATTTTGTGTTAAAAAAAAAAGTTCGAATCGACGTGAGTTCGCAATTTCTCTCGAAAAACAGATTTTCTCTGAAATCTCTAAACTAAAGAATTTCTAATTTTTTTTTTATTGCGTTAACACTTGCGATTTAAATTACAACTTTGTTTCAAGAAATACAGCGCGCGTTCCGAATTCCAAATGTCACGTTCGAGGCTCTCGAAATGATCGACGTGGTCGTCGTGATACTTTCGAGTTGAGAAATTATTATTGAGAAATTGTTACTCGGATTCAGATTGATTTGGATTTGTTTTAATCAAAATAGTTCCACGGAAATGGAATTGCACATTTTTCAGACACTCGTATATACGGTAATTAACAAATCTAACTCTAAGCCATAGAACACGTCAAATAATAGTATGGCGGAAACACTCTTTAAACTGACACTTGGTTTTCTGATGCAATCTGAGTCGGATATGGAAATCGCACAAAAACATAATTGTTTCACAAAGCATAAATGACATTTAACAAACAGTTTTACTTTCTGAATACGTAAAACACAATTATAACAATTGGCTTAAATGAAATTTGACAAAAACTGCAACATTGCATTTTCCATGAAAAAAAGAGACAATAGGAGCGAGAAAGCCATCGGTGTGGAAAGACGTAAGTAGAAACTAATCAATTAAAATCAATCAAGATTAATAATTAATTATATTGATCAATCAAGATACAGACGTTTCAATCAAAATAAACACGGTCGAAACGTCTATATATCTTGATTGATTTAGTCTCTTTACCGACTGATTTACCTTTCTTGATCCTATTGTCCGTTCTAGCTTTGGATTTCTCCAACGATTCTTTCTTTCATTTTGTGACAAGATTAGATGAGAGAAGAGGCAAAGAGAGAAACGACGATATATCTGTCAAATCGTTTCCGGTATGTCTCGCAGATGTCAAGCTTCTTTCGAAGCTAGAAACAACGTAAAAGATACAATAGTAAAAAAAAAAAAAAAACAACAGTTAAAGATACAAAAAAAAGAAATCTTATTATAAAAAGTGACGGAGCAAATTAATGGACGTTTCACTCAGAGAGAGAGAGGATTAAAGTTTTTACGATTTCTTGTTCGCGCTTTTAATTATAATGCAAGATTAACGATTATAACGGGGGTTGCGCGCGCGCATCAATAACATCAGGTCGAAAAGAAAAAAAACCGCATGCACGCAATATTCTTAATTAACGGAGAGCCAGAAAGTTCATACCGATTAGACAAGTTATCGTTAAACCGGCGGCCCGGCAAACCTCGCTCGCAGCGGAGACGAGAGAAGACGGCACACTTGAACAATTCGGCGCGAGAAAAACATTCGACAATGTTTGCGCCGGGAGATCTCTTGCGTTGCGTTTTCTCGCAAATAAGAGAGACGGCAATTCAGCGTTTTGGCGTCACTGCGAGTGCAAGTAAAAAAGCGCTGTACGACACTTCGATTGCTTTTCACTCTATATGTTAATGAATCCAGTCGGTGTATAGTATAATGGTGAAGAGTTCTAAATCAGCGCCGACCGCGAGATCCGCCTTTTCATTAATTTCCGTCAATTTCGCTTCATGATTATACATGAAGGTACACGTCGATCATCGTATCTCTCCCGTCCCGTTATATACCGCGCGTACAAGCGCGCGCGTGGCTATATGGATGTTTATGAAAAATAAACTCGCTGTTATCTCGCAAACGGACGAACGCGATCGACAAACGCGAATGTTTAATATCGCCACAGGTGGGAAATGTTTCTCACCTCTCGACGCGTTAAAAAGAACAAGGTTTTAGCCTTTGATGTTCGCGGCCAGGTTGTTAAGGTAGGTTCGCTTTTGACCTTTGATCTCGCCTCGTTTTCCTCCTCCTCCTCCTCCTCCCCCTCCCACCTTCTCTTTCTTCTTCCTGTGCAACGTGTGTGTTCACGTTCGCGCGTTTCTAACTGCACAAATCGCGACCGCGCGATCGAACCGTCACGTACCGCGCACGATCGATCGATTAATCGCGCGCAGACGTTCGCCAGACTGGAGATCGCATCGAAAACGAGATCTCGCGGCTTATGAGAGATTATGAAGATTGCGCGCCGTTCCCGTTGTATCGCGTTTTTGCCCGACCGATCTCGAGCCGAGACCTGAAACTTGACTGTTTTCAACAATAACTAGCACGAGGTGATAACTCGAGCAGAAAAATTGTCGGTCGGAGACGAGCCAATATATTAGTTTAAAATTTATTGTGTAATATTTCTGTCAAAGGTATACAATAGATAGAAAAGTCTGTTCAAATGAAGTTACTCGCCGCACATTCTGTTTTCTACTCGTAAAATTATCGAAAACCGCGCGCGATTATTTTGCAAAATGAACGATTTAAACAAAACAAAACAAAACAAAAAAAATGTAAATCTCGCTTGCTATCCTTGAAGTCTGATTGCATCAGCGAAGGTCACCTTGAGCGTTTCGTTTCGATGTTCGACGGGTGGATTTCCTACGTGGACGACGTCGCTAGAAAGAGGTCATCGTTAAGGGGTCGTTCCCCTCTGAGCGAATTCATTCTCGGCGCGGAGACCTTCGTCCGTTTATATTTCGTCTCGAGCGGATCGGACAGAGCTTTAATAAATTTTTTGTTTTAACACTCTCGATTCGCTCTATTTTCTAGCTCTCAAACATTCTCAAACTCCTCTTTACGCGTAATCGGGAAGGAAAAAAAAATTTAATAAGTTCTTGCGCGACGGTGTATATTTTTTGTACGCGCGTTCAATCAAATTAAGTCGAATGTTTATTCGCCACTTACAAGAGACTTGAACCTTCTGACACTTTTGATAAAGGATGAATCACGTAATTTAACGACACACGGATCGAACCAGCTTCTAAATCGCGCGCGTCAAACTTGTTGTGCGCGCGCGCGCGTGCGCGAAATTTTGGATCGAATGCGCGCTAGGGCACGATGTTTCACAAAAATCGAACGTTGTCTGCATTTATGGCACGTACGTACGTACACGTGTGTACTTGAATCGATCTCGTTGCGAGACGGCGATATTACGCGTGTCAATCGTGCGTGACCGTTGGGCCGACGCGTTCTTGCGAACATCCGATAGAACCGGGCAGGGAGTGGTTACGGGATAGAGAGAGAGAGAGAGAAAAAAAAAAGAAAGGAAGCGATGTATGGAGGTGAAAGAGGTTGCTTCATCGGAAGGATGCATCATTGAGAGTGCAACGACATCGTTAAGTGCGATCTCGTGCAATTTTATAATCGTCTCTTCGCGAAATTAACCAGAGATCGAAACGAAATGTGCCACTCGCTCGTGTTATTGAGGTTTTAATCGTACAATTATGTATGTCAGTTACGCGAAAACACTTGATAGGCTACAAATAAAACCCGATAGTGATAGGTGGCAGAGGAGTAGGATGCGATGACGCGAACGGAAATGTTTGCAAAAAAACAGAACTTTTATTGCTGCGTAATTTGTCACTCGAAAAATACGTCTGGGCAAAGATTTCAAGGAAGAAAAGATAGAGAAAGACACAGAGAGTCTCCGTATCTCTCTCTTGCAAAAATAACCGAGCGAGATGCGCGTCGCTCGCGGCGTATCTGCTCCGCGAAAGAGGCGAACCCAGATGCTACTCGTACTATTTTTTCTTCTTGATCGATTTCCAAGCCGTCACAAGATGACGATCGACCGTTACGTCGGCTTTTCTTCGTCGCCTAGAAAGCAAGGCCGTTTCAGGTTCGATTCAGGTTGTCGTAGGTCGGATATGTACAGTTACGCGCGGCCGAGGCGGCGGCGTAGTACACCGTAGGCGTTTTGGCGTGTCGCGATGATGGGAATCGATGGGGATCGCGTCTGATAAAGATCGCGAAAACGGAAAAAGACCCCCCGCAGGAAGCGAAGCGGTCGCGTAATTTAAATGCCGTCGCGCGCTCTGCGAGCCCTCAGGGGTGCGCGTCGCTGATTTACGATCCCGTATCCTGTTCGCCAGGAAACGTCGAAAAAGCAAATAAAAATAATCGCGCGTAACATTATTTTATCGAGCCGGATACCAATGTTATCTTGTTGTCCGGCGCGCGCGAACGAAAATATACTTATTATTGACAAGTTTGATACGTCTAGACATCATTGGAAATCGCAATATTGCGCCGATGCGCGTGCGCAATTTCAAGACGCGCGCGCGCGCGTTATTTCTCGGCCGTTTATAACATCGCCGAGATTCAAACGCGCGATTTCATTCGCGTCGCGAAAATTCGCGAAGCATCGAAAATTTGCTTTAGATCATCAACTGCAAAATCATCGTTGAGGTGTCCGATGAAAATTGAATTAGCTCGTGACTTCAAGAAGAGAACGCAGTTTCGTGTGTGTTCTGAAACAACACGAAAACACCGAGTCACGTACATACATACATACATACATACATACATACGGTCGTCGAGCGTATTTTGTCACAACGCAATTTCGACATCGGAACTCGCAAAGAGCAAAGTAAGTTATCCAATTAGTTCCAACAAATTGATTGACGGTTTTTTTCGTCGTTAAAGTCTTCCAAATGAGTTTTTCGCGCACAATTCGCGCTCCCCGCGCCGACGTTTCTCGGGTTTTTTTCCTGTGTTAAATTTTTTTTACAGAATTCGTAACACCTATTGCGAGTTATCGCACTCGATCCTACGCAACTACGCGTCGCTTCGCGCCGCGGGATTTATCGATGCTTGACAAAGTGCAGTCACTTATCGTCTTACGAGCGGTTGCTATGCGATATGGAAGGGGTGTCTTGAAGTCACGTACTAGCTCGACCAGTCAGAAGTCAGTGTGCGTAAGCCGGCCGGTTGCGCCGGCTCCTTTCCAGTCACTGTGCTCTCTCTCGAGCACGCGTTTTCTCCGCGAACACCTTCGCGCGAAAAGAAAAAAAAACAAAAAAAAAAAAAAACAACGGGAATATTCCGTCTCTCGGGAGACGTTTGATCGATCAATCAATTGTCCACGATCATCACGTAATCGCGCCCTCCACGGAGATCGTTTTATTTTGTTCGAAATTTTCCGAGTTTCGCGAGATTCGAGGATTAAAGTTCGAAACAAAAAAAAAAAAAAAAACAAAAAAAGAATCCGAGATGAGAGAACTTAATTGCGTCTAAATTTGTCGTGTCGAGCTATTTTTTGATAAGGGAAAGAGAATAATCTCGCCATAATAAAACAGAGAGTGACAATAAGAAACTCACGGTATATACAGTCGAACGCTCGAGATTTGTTTTTTTTTTTTTTTTGTGTCGTCTCGCTTTCGTCTCATTAGTCGTCGATTATCGACGCGAAGAGGATCGAGCGAGAAAATCGAACGCGAGAGCGCAATCGAGAAGTTCTTTTAAAATAGATCTCGGAGAAACGTCTTGACGAAGGTAACGGATACGCAGACACCTCAAATCGGTTGACGACTCGCGCTCAGAGTTATATTGTGTTTGTTTACGACGCCGTTATTATTACTGTGAACATGAACGTCTGTTTGTGCCGCAAACTCGTAAGCGAGGACACGCAGGAGGAAGTTTCTTTGCGCGCGAGTATTTTATTCAGAGATTAAAACGCATTCGGAGTGCGTAAATGTTCCATAATAACGATTGGAAAATCGCGACTATGTCGGGTGGCCGACGACAGTACGGAATTTCGTGACCGCTAACAACAATACCACAGTTATCCGTGGTATTGCCATCGTCGACGATCCCAGCAACGAATACGCGCAAGAAGTTCGAGAGAAACAACCCCAACCGAATATAAATTAATATTCCGTATTCGACTCTCGATTTTCACGGAGAAGAGAGACAGAGAAGTATCACAATCATGATAAAGAGAACTACCAGGCAAGAGTCAAAGATCCCGACGCAACAGACGAGTTTAATGGTAAACGTTCACATTTTACTGTCTTTTCGTTTCGAAGAAAGGTGTAGCGCATACGAAATGTATTTTATAACTATGATAAAAAAAAAAAAAACTCGCTTCTCACGTTAATAGACAAGACAAAAATAATATCGTAATTTAATTGAAAAAAAAAAAAAACGCGCGATTTATGTGTATAAAAAACATAGTTTTTCTAATTACAGAGAAGTGCAAATATTTGTTTGTTTTTTTCTTAAAATTAAATTAAATTTGCGTATGTGTGTGTGTTGTTACATTATCTTTTGTTTATGGAAATGTCTTATTTATCGTCTCGTTGAAGAAGAATGTCCTGAGACGATTGATAAGGATTTATTCGATTATTTTTATTCGGGATATCGCATCAACATGAATAAATATCAAGGTTTCGATGGAGTAATACTCGGAGCTACGAGATAGCGAAGCTTTCTCGAACGCCTTGACATTGACCATACGGGAATGAGCGATCGTTTATACGTGAACTTTATTCGGGTGTAATGAATGTTATATCGCATAATTCGCGTCATTGACGAGATGGGGTCGAGGAAGAAGACTGTTACGATAGGCGGGTTCGAATTGCTTTTGTAATTTCAGTGACCTCCGTAGTTATTATAAATTCTCTATTTATTTCGATAAGAGAGATTGAGAGAGAGAGAGAGAGAGATCTCCGTCTCTGCACACAACAACAAACCACAATGTTTGCGAAATTACGACGTTCTTTCTGAAATTCTTATTTCTCCGCCGGTTCGAACGGCGATTGTTTGATTACGCGCACCAAGCAATAAAGTGGTTTAATCCGGTCACCTTATCAATTGTTCATTATGTATGTTGATACCGGTAGTGGTGGTTGTTGCATTGAATTTTTTACGAATTTGATGTCGTTTAGAAAAGGCAAGAAAAATTCGATTACATTTAGAGAGTTTTGTTTTGGGAAATTTGTTTAAATCTGTAGAGAAGCTGCGGTAAAAGTAATGAAAATTTTTAATAATGAAAAATTGCACGTCTTTATCTTGCAAAATCGTATTTGCAATTTCCACTGCGCATATATGAAGTGAGTGCGCGACGTCCGCGTGGGGAAGATCATTCTCAAATGCGCGCCAATAGCGAGCATTATTAATGCAACGACTCTCTGCAGAAAAGTCTTGCTATCCGAATGTTAATGCCGATAACCTCTCTTTATTGTCTGACTTCTTCAACCAACAATCGGTGATATTATTAGTTGTATGATTTTCAAGAAAAATTGCGCTCGCGTATTGCCGCTACTGTTTTGCTAATTTTATTATTTATCTTTGCATTTCTTTCCGCAAACCAGCAGCGGAAGATTTGGATTTTTTTTTCTTTTTTTTTTTGAGAAATCGATTAACGTTAAATGCAACAAACAACTGAGAGATTAAAAATCTGTGAAGTAAACGTGTTTTAATTTGCGTTAAAAAATTAGAGAAATTTGTTATTTTTTAAATTATTATTATTTAATTTTCCATATTGTTATTCCGTAAATAATATTTGTTCTGTAAAACGATAAGTCACATTACAGCGTTTATAAAAAAGTACAACATTCTTTTAAATCTGCTCGCGGTTCGATGTTCGAAATATTCTTTTCGTACGCTCGCGCTTACGTGTGCGTCGCATATTCAAAAATGTGTCGAGAAGTTCAAGGTTCCCATTTTCGTAGCGTAGCGCAAACGCGCGAGCGTGGCGTCGACTTATCAATTTTTATAGCTGCTATAAATATGTCGGCGCGCTAATCATTTAATCGTTGATTGCAAATAAGTTCGCACGCACGTGCACACGCATCTACATACGTGTGACAACGATCGCGCCGTGTATCGTATCGGAGAAGAACGAAGTTTCTCACTCGGCGATTTCGTTTTTTTTCGTTTTGTACACCGCAATGATATTCGTTAAAAAATTAGTTACGCTTGTCCGCATTGAACTCGATAATTGAAGCGATAACGATGGAACGCGCGCGAGGTCATGTATTTTTGTGTCTCTCTCTCTCGGAGTTACGCATTTATTTCCGCAAAATAAACGAATCTTATTCTTTCCGCTTGGTTGGCAAAACAGTTAAATCGACTTTGAAACGTCTGTGCGTTACGAAATCTCGTGAGTAATTTGTATGCGAGGCGATAATAGTTTATTATTTGTTGTCGCCAACGTGTTATCTGCAAATTTTCTAGTCTCGAGAGAAAATCACACAATGAGCTTACGCGGAAAAGTGATTGATTGTTTCGTGTATTAAAAAATTATTGCTGTTAAATAACCTTGCCGGATTCTTCGCGAAATTTGCTTCACTCAAACGAGTAAAAACCCTGTCACTCACAGACAGACGAGGAAACTCACTCTTCATCCCGGGTGACGTGGCGCGTTTTATCGTGTCGTAATATTTACTACCCTTTGAAATCTTTGCTTTTTTTTTTTGCATTTTCTTTCTTGCTGTATTTTGAATTGCATCGTACGTTTACTTGCGTTTGCTTCGAGAGAGAAACTTGTCCCCAGAGCGCGAGCGCGAAGCGTCCGACCAATCAATCGCTCTCTTACGTTGCAGTTTTATGTCGCGCCGCGCCTGTTGTATCTGGCGCAAAAATATATGTGCAGAGTCATTACCCCAGAATAAGCGAAGCCGCTCTCTTTTTATCTTCTCTCTTCTCTGGCGTGTATTCTTTTTTCCTCTCATCGGACGAAGGAGTTTACAAAGAGTCCGGGGGTTATCACGTTGCAATTCACAACAGGCGCGCACACATTATATTGCACGCTCCGATCGGTTACGTCCGGCGAGATGATATATATCTGTGTTTTGCACAGTAATTAATGCATTTAAATGCGATCTGTGTGTGTTCCTCAGCTGTTCTGCCGCGATTTGATAAATCGCGACGAAGAAGCGAGAAAGTTCTGCGTTTCTTCGGCTGTTTGTTAACGCTGGGGCGAAACATTTGCCTCGTTGTCGCGCGCGCGTCGAGTAACAAATAATCAATTAGAGCAAATCCATTAGACGTCTAATGAGGATATCTGTGGATTTTTGCTCTGCGTGTGATTTCTGATATTTGACGAAGAGGAACAAATTTTCTAAATAATCGGATTAATGAAATAATTTTTTATTCGTATCAGGTTCGACGCGTTCATTTGAAGACGTCGTTTGCCTTCGCTAATATAAATTTAACAACAACGCCACTCCTCTTACAGCTCGAGAGTTCAAGAAACTTTGTCTTAGTTAAATAATAATCTTTTTTTTTTTTTTTTCCAAAGAGTGATCGGAATATCGGAGTCGTATCGGAGAAAGTTGGCGATAAGAGGTTTCTGCTAACGTAGTGGCGCCGTAAAAGCTCGTAAGAGCGACACTCACGAGGGTAGGAAGTGCATGCGATATCTAATTCAGCTGACTTCTACATGAACGAACGGCGCGGAACACGTGCTATAAATATTGGTCGATACACATCACGTTCTATTATCGTGCAAACGTTTGATAACATCGAACGAGCGCGGGCAGTCCCGCGCGATTGTTGAATTGACATTTACCGTACGAGATAATGACCTTTTCTTATCGAGACGACACTCGACATTCGATTACTCGCGCAACGCTACGCGCAAAATGTTATTTCTAAAGAGGTTACACCAGTCGCCCGGCGTCTGTAACTTCGGAGATTGCGAAATAATTCCGACCGGACAGAAGAGAGAATCGCGTGTTGTTACTCAGCACGTTCTCCCAATAAATCCGGCCGTTTTACCGTCTAACTAATTTTCGAATAAAAACAATTCTATTTTTACGCGTGAAAATAGACTCGAACGAGAGAAAGAGAGAGAGAGAGAGAGAGAGAGATAGATAGAGAGAGAGGGACAGTCTAAATTATATCCTCGATGATTCGAGCGAAGTATTTTCCTTCTGACCACCCGCGCACACGCATAGGTATGCCGCAACTGCCGGAAGGGTCGATATAATGAGCCGAGGTGGAGACTGGTTTAAATAAATTCTTCTCGCGGTTTCGCCGCGCGACTAGAGAGAAACGCGTTTGTTCGGTTTTTTTTTTTTTTGTTTTTGTTTTTGTTTTTTTTTAACTCACCGGTAAAAGTCTCACGCTCGTACATTTAAATAATAAAGATACACTTTGATTTCCCTCCCGGCGTTCACGTACCAGAGGCGACGCTTTATACGATCGACTCTCGTGCGCCTTTGTAACGATAATTAATTTCCCTTCTGCATTTAGCAACGCGCGCGCAGCCTTCGCAGATACAATCGTGTTGACCCGCGAAACAACCGGGAAAACGATGAGAGAATTTATTCGTGGTTGCGCAAAAGGGATAAATCTCTCTCTCCGGTAACAAGTCGCACATACACTACTAATCGCAACAGAGATGCAACGTTTAGATTAATGACGCTCCCGTCAGCGACGGCGAATTTTTGCTTCGAAATATGATGCCGAAGAACAGAGAAACACGCGGAGAGTCGCGAGTGGGAAGTGACAATCGTTGTGATTCTTTTGGAAAAAAAATTCCACAGATCTTGCTTTCGCGCGCACATCGCGTAAACTTCGTTGTTCTCAATTTCGATGAGAAACTTGATTTTTTCACGCGCGCGGTGAGAGAACAAATACAAAGATAAAGAGATTTATAAGTCGCACTCGACTTCCGTATGACTGAAAACAGAAAGGATATAAACCCCCCGTTATTTGATATTGGCGTTTGCATTTGCGCGATTTTTTTTTTTTCCCACTCGCAGTGTCTCTTGGACGTTCTATTTACTTAGGAGACCGACTGCGCAAGAGAGGTGCATTTCGGGACGAGTGGTGAAACGAGCATCGGTGCACGACGAACGCGCGTGTGCGCGCCGTTTGCCAAAGGATATCTAGGTGTGTGCGTATATTAAAACGCCAAATGTCATTCTCTCTTTCTCTCTCTTTTTTTCTCTCTCTTTCTCTCTCTCTCTTTCTTTTTTTATCCCGTCAATAAAAAGCCGGTTTGCACGGCTGGTAAACGTAAATCATTCGGTCTTGTCAAATCTCAATTGGAGAGAGAACGGGCGCACAAGGGCCCGAGTTCAAGTGCCATCAACGTTAAATATTCCGTTAATGAAAAGTAATGAAAATGTCCCGTTGAAATGACTAATGGCGTGTATATATGGGCGCGCGCGCGCGCGCGCGTTACATCCTGACGACGACGTGCGAATATAAATTGTTTTTCAAAAATACAAAATTATATACGGGGGCGAACCATGTTCACGCGTGTATGTCGCCCATTAGACGTCACAATTTCCTTCGCGCGAAAACTTAGTATATAAAATCATTCTCTCGAAGTCCGCGCTGTAGCTTTCGCCAGATTTCCATCCCGGCTAAATATAAACCGAGACTTTATTTACTCTTGGCAGAGAAGTCGATTCCCGTCGGCCTCGAGGCCGTGCGCCGTGAGATACGGCGCTCTTGAATGAATTATTAATTAGCGTCTTTCATTTTACGATCGTCGTTTCACTTCCTCGCGCGAATTTTTCACGCGACACGCACGCACGCACGCGCGTCGTCGTCGTCGTCGTCGTCGTTGTCGTCGCGCGCGCGAATCTGAGAGATTTTATCAAATTTCACATGCCGTCGTTTATCGTCGCGAATAAATCCCTTTCCTTCGCGCGATAAGACTTTCTCGCGCTTGATTCTCGTCGATCGAACAAAAATTAATGAAAAATTATTTAGTGTAAAAATGTGAATAACAATTCACAGATTGGCGCGAACGTTGGCGAAATTTACGCGCGAGACAAGAGAGCAACATTGATTTTCGACGTAAACGATAAAAGGTGAAAACTGATCGAATCGTACGTGATGACCCAAGTCGCGGGTTTATCGTTCTGTCGTAAACGCAGCGAGCGCAAATCAATTGAGATTAAACACCGCACGAACGACCAACGTCGTTTGCCTTCATAATTGACCGTCGAGTGCGAGATAAGAGAGAGTCGCGCGTGTAAATCTTCAGACCTCCGTCAGTTTATCAGACTTGTTAAAATACACGCCGTCGCTTTAGTCATCGATTATCAGTTTCGCGCGACAATTCTCGAGATATCGCGTCGATCTGAGAGTGCGCGCGCCGCGATTAGAGATAGAAAAAAAAAAAAAAAAAAAAAAAAAAAAAAAAAAAAAAAAAACATTTTACCCCTCAGTGTGAAGAAAGCCTAAGGAGGCTCCGTTTTCTCAAGCGGAACGACGCCGCTTTATAAGCCTCCGTGTGTGCCGCGAACTTCGCGCCGTCAACGGCGCGGGTCAACGGCCTCTAAGTCTAAACCTCGCGTTACGTAATGATTATCTGTTCGCAAAGATGTACATACACACGCTGCGCGCGCTTTTTTTTTTTTTGTTTTACGATAAAACGCCTGCAACGATTGATACGAAATCTATACGCGAATTCGCGAGCCGCGATCATACACAAAGGCGCGCGTCGTCGTCGTCGTCGTCGTCGCGCTTGCGTTACATAAATCAAAGCGAGTTATTTTTTCACGCGGCCTTTAAAATCAACCCCGCCTGCGCGCGCGCGACCGACGTTCTCTGGCTTCGGGATGGAAATAAATACACCGATAAATCACTCGCTCGCCGAATACACTTCGAAAGCTCTCCCGCCTGCAACAGGACGCCTGTTGCAGGATCGCGGGCGAACCATCGCGTCCAGGAGGCGAATTGATCCGGGGCCAATTGTGCGTGTATTTATATCGTTCCAATTTTCTTACAGCGCGAACACGCAGTGCGCGCGAGATTTCCTAACTGCACGCGTTCTCTCTCTCTCTCTCTCTTTCTCTCTGTTTCTCTTTGCGCATCTCTGTTGCGAACAGCACCGACCCGCTAATAATCAATTGACGTTCCATCGCGCGTAATATTCTTATACGCGCTATTTTCCGTCGCGCGCAATCGCACATCGACTATATGTTCGAGCAAACTGGTGTTCTTTGCCCCAGGTTCGTGTGTATTGAATGACGGATTATTTTTTTCGGCGACTATTAATCACCGTCACGTGCGTCTCACACTGCGATCGATAATATAACCGGGTTACGTGTGGCGACAAATATTAATTTTCAGTCTTCTACTCTCGGTGTCGCGAGAGAAACATATTACGGATATAATACGAAGTGATTGAATGAATGTGTGTGTGTGTGTGTGTGCGCGCGCGCGCGCATGTTCACAGGCGGTTCTCAAATGATTCAAGTTTTGAATTACGTGTGTGCCATTTTTTGCCTGTCGTTCCACAAGCCGTATATTCTAAATTTACGAAAAACCAAACGTTGACGTGATTAAAGAAGCATCTTGCGCGTCGATTACAACCACGTGCCTTCACGTGGGTTATAATGGCCGATTATTTGCACTTCCTGCAACGCTGTTTCGATTATATATACGTGCAACTGTGTGTGGCCGTGAGCCAATGTTATGGCTCCGGTGACTATATTATACGCGCTGCGTCATTAGCGCGTGTGTCCACATTTCAGATTTGCTTTTCCATGTTATCTCGTGTATCTCTGTTTGTGCAGAGTGTTAGAACCAGTGTTGGTTTCGATTTATTTTGTTTTGCTTTCAATCAAGACAGTACGCAAAAAAAAAATATATATATATTAGCGAAAAATCGATATCATCATTTTTTAATTGTTTTTAATTGTTTTATTGACTTTTTCTGACATTATAAAAGAATAAATGTTTTCTTCTTTTTTCACAGAGTGGCAGCGTGACGGCGGGCCGAGGCGACGACTCGACCTCGCCTTCGCCATCTTCAGAAGTCAGCCGCAACGAGAACACTGCCGGCTCCGCCGTCCAAAACATGGGTAGCACAGATTCGGCGGGTAACGCCCGCGGGCCCTCTTGCAGTTTGGTCAGCACTCTTCTCTCCAACAACTGTCGGGGTAGCGCGGAAGCTTTCGCTCGTTGCCTTCATCGACGACTGACGTCCTTGGGCAGCGAGAACGGGTCTCCCGAACGGGTGACGGACGCCGCCAAACCGCTCGAGACTTCGTGGCTGCACCCGACCTCGTCGAGTAATCGGCACGTCAACAGTCTGACCGCCAACAATCAGCACTCGATTCATCAGCATCAGCCGCGCCACAGTCCGGAATCGGATCTCTTTTACGACATCGAGGTGGACGACGAGCCAGGATCACCTGCCGAAGAAGCAACCGCTGCCGAAATGGCGCGTCTGTTGGTGAACTCCAAGACGAACTATCACGACGCCTGCCACTGCTCGTCGAGCGCTACCAAAACGTCCGAAACCACGGACGTTCATCAGGATCCGGAATCCGGCTGCGTGTTCGCGTCACCGTTTTCCAGCACACCGCCCGACAGCGACTCCTCCGAGATGTTCTTCGATCCGGAATCCTCGGAGTCGGAAAAACCGAAGGTCGAGGTCTTCTTCGATCCTGTCAGCACTTCCGACAGCGAGGCCGCGTCGAATCTTTCCAACGCTTCCGTCCACGCGAAAGCCGCGCAATCGAACGAACGCAGACGGGACACAAATCCGGAACGTTGCGAGGACACGTCCGAATCGAGCTGCTCGTCGAGGAGAAATCCTGCGATCTGTAAAAACGGTCACCGACAGGACGAGCTGATCGGCAGTTCGGAGGATTCGTTCGGCAGAAGTTCCCAAGAAACGACGACCTCGCCCAGCCACGAGTCTCTCTGGAGCACGTTCGACGACAGCACCGTGTCTTTGCAGGACGAGAGTCCTTCCAGAGGAGTCGATCGCGTCGATTTCGTACCTCACATCTGTCTGCCCAAGTCGCATTCCGATTCCGAGCTACCGAGCAATGGTGTTCTCGAGGAAACATCCATTGAGCTCGATAACCGGAACGGAAAAGACGGAGAAAACAAACACATCGGTAACATCGACGTGGAAAATACATTGGAAAATGTGGCAAACGATGTCAGGAACGGTACCGATCTAGACGATTCTTCTGACGTTGTCGATTCGGAGGAGAAAGGAAATTTTACAGACGTAGAATCTGAAGAAGTGTCGTCGAACAGTTTATCCGAGCCGAAGATTGAAGAGACGGTCGTAAGCGACAGCGATACCGAACTTACTTTCAACAGCGCCGCTGATACTTCGGACGCGGCGACGGATTGTTCGAACAGCACCGGAGCGAAGAACGAGCTCAACCTTCAAATTGGCAACGACAGTAACGCGGCGAGCAATAACGACGAAGAGAAGTTGTGCCTGTTGCTAAAGAAACTGGGCAGCAGTACTTCCGCGAAAGAGGAGGATCTCTCACCGGAACAGGAAACTCAAAGTGAAACAGTGGAAGAGGAAGAGGACAGACCGCAGAGAGTGCGCAGATGTTCATCCTTGAAAACGGGAAAAACACCACCCGGCACGCCCGGCAGAAAGAAGATCGTGAGGTTCGCGGACAAGCTCGGTCTCGACCTGGCCGACGTGAGAACCTTCCTCGACGAGATACCGAAGATACCCAATTCCGCGTACAACGATCTGATTTACGACGATATCTTCCGACCGCAGCACAGCAGCCCGGAAAACGCTGCGTCGTCCATCCGTGACGATTGGTGCGACCGTTATCAGGACGATGGCAGACGTAAATCTATGTCAGCAATATCGTCCAGGAAGATCGATCGGATGCTGGTGCCGCTGTTTCAGCAACCGGGAGGCATGGCGAACTTCCTGGACGTGGTGCGCGAACGGCGGGTCTGTCTAGAAAACGCGCTGGTGCAGGATCCGGTGACCCTCGCGATCCAGGGCACGGTGCGCGTCATCAATCTCGACTTTCACAAGTCCGTGCACATACGTTACACCCTGAACGCCTGGCGGAACTTCAGCGATCTGCAGGCCACCTACGTGTGCAACTCCTGCGACGGATTCAGCGACAAATTCTCCTTCGTTTTGTATTGTCACACGCTGTCGGTCGGTCAGAGGCTCGAGTTCGCCGTCCGGTTCCAGTGCAAGGGCATGCAGTACTGGGACAACAATTCCGGTGCCAATTACTGCTTCCAGTGTCTTCCGGCCTCGTCGTCAACCGGCTACATACCGATCACCGCTGACGAGAATCGGCGCAGTAGCTGGTCGCCGATGTTCTACTGATGGCGCGGTTTCTGGTTGAAACTACTGAATGGATCGACAAATAAGAGAGAGACTGTAGCGGCAAACGCGAGTTTCGTGATACTCAACGGTTCATAAACGTTCCTACAAGACAAGTGCTTCGCGACGAAAAGTACGAGACGAAATGTGTCTTACCGAAAGTTTCTCCGGCGGAGAAATTGTACGATGTATAACACTGTGGTGGTATCTCATGATTTGGAGCGAAAAAATTAATGCGAGGAACTTCTTCTGCGCAAGTATATAGTTTGGACGCGCTTAAAGAGACGAGAAATATGAGATAAGATAAGAAATCTGATGTAATATTTAGGAATCATCCGGTTTTTTTTATTCATACATCTCGCGAATAAACTGACTGATATTCTATTTTCAGAGAATACGATTGTCACAATGCAATAACTTTTTTATATCGCGTTGTATATAAACAAACATTTTTTTACTACCTGAAATCTCTTTCTTAGGGAAATACTTTGTAAAAGATTATTTCCGACAAAGTTTTTGTTTTGCGTTCGTCGCAGTTTTTTGTTTCTTTTTTCCAAACTATACTTGTGAAGATCGATAAAGATTGTAATTTTTGAAATTTTACATCTTTTTCGCAAAGCAGAGACGAACGATCGCTCGTTTTGTAAGAATTTTTTTAATTAACGGAATGGCCTAAGCTAATGATGAACAAGAAGTGCGAAGGACACACACACATACGTAGATATGGTCTAAATGTTCCTACGGAGTACCTATACAGAATTTGTATCAAAGTTATAGCTGATGGGGAGGATCATACACTCATTAATCGACAGCACGCAGGAAATATTACATGAGTTTATTAACGTTATCCAATACACGAGACAGAGAGGCGATAATAAAAAAAAAAAAAAAAATCTAAACGTTACTAATTAATACGCGTAACGTATATAATGATATTAGTCCTTGTTAGCGATGTTGTACGAGTTGAAACTTTATCGTAGAGAATATATATTCTATTGAGATATTATACGCAGAAATTAAACATTTATATATGTTTTTTTTTAGAATTATCACGCTGTGTGTACGGGGAGAAAATAGTGGGTTGTGTATTTTTTTTTTTTTTTTTTTTTAATTAACTTGCAAACAACAAATATCAAGCGGCGAAAAAATATGTATTAATTTTTTTTTTTAATCTAAAATAATGTTGAGAGAAATATCAATTTTTTAACGTGAAAATAGATACTTTACGTGGATATTTTAATTTTCTTTTAAGAGATGATTCTCTTTTTGTGTATGTTATATATATATATATATATATACACAAATACACACATATATATATATGTATTTGTACAGGTAGCGTCAGTATTGGTGGCAGGCGTGCCCATCATTGATTAATATTTCCCTTTTTCATCGTATATTCATGTTAGTTATCATATAGAAACTATATGGACGCCATATTTGCTTTGCAATAATCCCTGTACATATCATTTACCGATAAGTTACGGTTAAAACTGCACAGTAAGAAGACGACGTCACAGATCTCAATGACCTTGAAGATACCTCAAGGATTGAAAGATCAATCCGAGTGTCCTCGACCTCTTCTCAAGAGTCACTCACCTCTAAAACAGGAAGTTGTAAGCTTTAGAAGATAAACAGTTATCAGAACTACGGCTCCTTCAGAGTAATGATTCTTCATGTCCAGTGAAGAATCTTTAATAAGCCAAGACAAGTGATCTTTCTTCTCCGGCGTACATTCTTCACTGTCATTGAGATTGAGACCTGTCGGTTACGATGTCTGGTTTACTCAATATGTTAAATTGTTTACTGTGCATCGCGAAAAAGAAAAAAAACATACGTTGACCGGTAAGATTGAAGCTTAGCGGGAATTTTTTAACATGCGAATATTCTTGATAGATATTTTCTAATTTTATACTCAAAGAGAGCGCCGTTTTTTTCGGATGTAATTATGCGGGATGTTCGAAAAATTTTGACACAGACAGATTGGTTCAATCTGAATCGAAGAGTCAATTTACTAAGATTGTTTTATAAACAACAATTTTTTAAAATTCGCGATATTTATTGTGTTATTAATTAATGAATGTGAGTCGGTGTGGAAAACGACGATCCAGATTCTGTAGGCGCGTTGTGATTTTCAGTTTTAAAGAAAAAGCGCTCAACGGCTCACGTTAATTAGTTAATAACTCAATAAATATTGTGTGAATTTTACAAAGTGACTTTTCTGTTCAGATTGACTCAGTCTGTCTTCGCTTCTCGGCTTTGTCAAAATTTTTCGGATACCCTATGTATCACATATATGTACACTGTTTTCTTTTACGCACATGTGACTTCGATATCTTACACACAATACTTCATTGTAACTAATTTTGTTGTTGCTAGCAAACGAATATTTGTAAATATTTTATCGTTTTCGAATTATTGTCCTCTCGAATGCTTGTAGGCGTGTATTTATATATAGCCTTGTGTTTAAATAAATAATTTGAGATTCTTATAGATATATATATATATATATACATATCTGAAAACACGTTTGAGAAAATATATTTGCTATTTTCGTCATTTTAAATATTATTGCTTTATTTCTCTGAAAAAAAAAAACACATCACACTACTATATGTACATACTATATGTAATACAAATTATTAAATCAGTTTGTCCTCGTGACGTTATCAACAATTTGTCAGTCTGAAAAATAATATCAAAGAATGTGTAAAAACTGCAAACATCTGTGGGATTTGTTGAGGAAGAAACAAACAATGTCAAGATATTTTATTGTATGTTGAAACAAAATCGTTGTACACGAACGATGTTAGTGACAAGTAAGTTACCTAAGAAATCTAAATATGTTTGCCATCCGAAATATGTGCGCGCGACATATAGCACTTTTAGTGAACGTAAATTAGCAGAAAAGAAGAGTCGCAATATAAACAAACAGAAAAAAAAAATATTTTCCTAACACTTTTATCATCAACGAGATCTTTGCTGTTCTCAAGAGATTACACGAGAATATACTCCGAATACTTTCTACAATTGTAACAACAATTAAGAGCAATCGACTTGCGTTAGAAGAGACTGCAACACAAAACAATAAAAATATTCATATACTGTATGTTGTTCGGGTGAAAGAGTTATGTGTGTGTTATTGATCGGTGAAAAATGTGCCTGAAAGCCTAATAAAATCAATTATGTAAATTGCGTCACGGCTTTCTGTAAGTAACGTCTGAGTGGTAACGTCTATTAGTATTGTAGTCTGGATTGTAGCGTATTTTTCTATACACAGGTGCGTGTACACAGTGACACAGGAAGAGGGAGAAGATAAAGTCTCTCAAGAGCTGCCGAATATATATTTTTAAATATCATAATTGCAATATACAATTGTTTGTATGTTACAATATCGAATTATATATATTTTCTTTCATATATTTTCATAAAAGAAAACAACGTTGATCCTCCGTAAACAGATAGATTCAAATATGGAGAATGACTAAAAAAAAACCGAGACAGTTTTGTATGTCGGTATATATAATGTAGCATATACATACTACAAACACGTAAGAAGAATGTTACGTACTATATGTGTATTGTGTCTCATTTGTTTCCGATGTGTTGTCGCGAGTAACCTGCAACGTGCAAGGAAAACGTTTTAGAGATCGTGAAATATATTTTTTGCGTATATGATTTTATAGAAATTATATATATATATATACTTATATGTTCAATAAGAACATATAATACTTATATGTTCAATTAAACTAAAGCGTCGTAGTCGTTCTTTAAATTTTAGACAAATTTGATCGTTTTAATTTAAATTTTTCATCGAGTAAATTTACGATTAAGGTGACGAGTAGATATACATACTACATACATACGTCGCGATATGTGCAATAAATGGAAGAAGTAACCTGCGTGCGTAATCACGTCCACAATTATGAGTTAAATATATGTACGAACAAAGGCTGATCGTGAAGGAGAGAAGGAGTATAGTATATTATACATCTATTTACATACACATATATATATATATAAAATATCTGTAAAACACACACTCGTCTGTGTCTGTTCTATATATACATATATATATATATTATAATTATTAAGAGAATAAATAAAACAAACAATGTTGATTTGTAAGTTCTCTCGTTTTGTGCAATCGTGAAAATTTGTGTTTGACCTCTTACACATGCGTTTCAACGAAATGCGCGTGATGCGATTGCAAATGTCACACGGTCGGTATGTGTTTACGGATCTCGTTTTAGAGATTCTCGAAATAAAAGTAGCCGCTATATAGTATATCCGCGCGAACTTCCGTTAGTGAACCGTGTCGTCGAATAAAACGTGTGCGCTGGCACGCACGTATGTAAGTACGTTCGACGCGCAATGACGCGTAGACAGATTTACAATAGGCTCACGAAGATCGCGTCGTTAAGCATCCGCGTGCCGAGAGAAAATCGCGAGATTAGATTTTTTTTTTTTTTTGTTGCGATAAACACCGCGCACGACAAATCGACATACAACGAGCGAGATACGGCGGCTTTGATGTACATACTTAAATATCAATAATCGGATGATCGCACAAGCGAGACGAGACAAAAATGAAAACTCCGGTGAAGGCGTGCTTTTGAAATGGCAGCGTTTTTATTTCAAATGTCGGTAAATCGGTGAAAATACAAACTTGTGTTTCTTCTCTTACAATATCTACGGTTATACCCTGTACATTTCTTTCTCTGTGTTTGTGTATTCGTGTGTGTGTGTGTGTGTGTGTGTGTGTGTGGTCTTAAGTACTCGGCGATAAAAGATAATCGTTTTTATCATCAGTCTTTACGTCGTTCCCATCATCGCACGCGATCTCGGCGAGAGAAATTATCGCGATACACACTACCGATTACCGTAAAACATTCACGTGAGAACAAAATATACACGCTCACTTTGCACGATCGTACAGACAGGTGTTGAAAAACAAAAATAAAAAAAAAAACGATGTCACCAAAATTTATTTCGCGCTCGTCGAAAGCGTCTCTGAACTTTGTCACTGTAAGTGTCACAGAAAAAAAAAAAAAACAGACGAATTTTTCTTGTAGCGGAACGAACAAAACACTATCTATGAGCAATTAGTTGTGTCTTTTTTATATATCTCGTCGTCTCTACAAGTTTCTCCTCCTTTTTGTAAGTATGTTATAGTCGCGTTTTGATATTGATACGACAAGTCTTTCCCGCTCTCTTATCGTAAGATCACGATTCTTCTAAGCGCGATTGTGAACACGTCCTTCCCTCTTCCTATCTCTTACAGAATGACATATCGTAGTCGACAATTCGATGTTGCGCTTATCTTCTTTTGTTTTTATTTTTAAACGACGTGTTCTTTTTTTTTCCAAATGATTCTGCGTCGATCACATACTACGGAGTCGCGGTGTTGGACTTCAATTTGAGCGCTCTGTACTGTCTGTACAGTCGTTGCTTGCAGAATTCGTAGAATTCGACCTCGCGAGTGAAATTATTGCGCACTATGTTTTTCACTTCCTCGCTGACCGGTGGCTTGAAGAAATTCCGGTTTATTCTCACGAACGAATTCACCTGATCTGAAAGAACAAAACGTACGATATTACGATCGAGTTACCGGTTTTCGTGATATTGATTAATTTCTCATAACGTCTGTCGAGTTAGTTTTATCGATCTTTATCGCGCGACCGAATGATGACATATGTAAAAACTCGGATTACCGTAGTAAACGTCGGTTGCCCCTTGGAAAAATCGTGGTATGTAGTTTTCCAGCACCGTGAGAGTCGTGTTCATGTCCTCCAAGACGCCGACTACTGCGTAATGCTTCTCGACCGCCAATTTCGCTCGCTCCAATGCGCCCACGGTATTAAAAGGACTTTTTTTTTGTACGTATGAAACAAACGCGTAAAACATTACATAATATCGAATTTAACGCATTAAGTACGTATATATTTTTGTAGAACTAAAAAAAAACAATGAAAGATTAATTTATACAATTATAAAATACATTCGCGTGTGTTGTTAGTTTCTTACAAATTACATGCTTTTTATTTTTACTATTTGTGATATATTTCAAATTATTTAATGTATTTTTATTATTTTTATTATTTGATGTTTAATTTAATATATTTTGAAAAAACCCGGTGTTTTCGAAATGGCAGCGTTTTATTATCGGTGAGAGAATACAAAAAATTTTAGTGTTTCTTCTCACAAAACAATTACCTTACTCTACAATTCTTTTTCTGTGCGTGCGATCGCAATTACTTGGCGATAAACGGTATTGTTTTTATATATATATATATTATATATATATCTCTCTTTGTTCGCGTAATTTCTCATCGCCAAACCATTATTTTATTTTGTTTGCAACAAAAATAATTGATCAAATTGTCTCACGTGCACTTTTCGCTGTGTCCGCAAAAGAAGAGCGTCTGCCTGCGGTGATCGCCGATGCCCTCGTGGATCTCGCCCTGGAGATATCTGCACTCCCGATCTCCCTTGAGAACGCACGACTCGAAATCTTTCTTGAGCCAATTGGGATCGGGCAGCGGCAGATCCGGGAAGATCTGCTTCCTCTCCACGTAGTACCACGGCGCTCTTACGTAATAATACCATGATATGACTCTTTCCACAGGGTCACGGACTATGTTGAGGTAAATTGGCTCCGGCAGATGGAATCTACGGCGACCCGAGACACACACAAGAAAGTAAGTAGAAGATGGCGGTAGGCAGGCAATCATTCAAATTGCGAAGGCTAATTTTGCGTGGCACTCACTCTGTGAAGTTAGTGAAGCAGACGTGCTTGACGTAGACAGACGGCTCCGAGTAACTGCTGACCATCCTCGCGAGCTGGAGCTGGAAAAAAAAAAGCGCAAAGTCGATATTCCTCGGTCGTTCACAATACGCGCTGTTAAATTCTTTTTCACCCGTAATTTTAAATCCGCTCTAAGAAAACCAGAAGATATAACCGTGAATGAGCGCGTGAATTATTTGATCCTGTCAACGACGTTGTCGCATTTTTCCATCGCTTCGTAAGGCTGGCTCGGTAGCAGGATTGTAAATTAAACAAGTAATTATTACGCGAGCTGCTATCGCGTGTGTGATTGATGATAATTGTGTGCGGGCTTCCTTGCTCGGGAGTTTGCTTCGTTACCTGTTCGATCGGCGCGAGACGTATCGTCTCGACTCGCTGCACACGATCTCTGTTGAACGAAAACGCGTTTCTTATCGACAACCTCCTTAGCAGCTCCATGAAGGTCTGCGAGCCGACTTTCGGTACGCGATTGAAAAAGAGAACCTCCCGGTCGGCTCTCTTTGTGTTGTTGAGGGCGTCGATGTCGAGTTCCTCCTGTTCCTCGTGCTAAAAACACGTTTAATAAGTAAAATAATAATTATTATACACATATGTAGAGAATTATTATTATCTTAAGATAATTTTTAACGATTGAAAAAATAAATTATATTTTAGATAGATTAATTTTATTTATTAAAATAAATATATTTCAAAACTATATCGTCGGTATATCTATTTGTACTGTTATTGTCGAAACAGAGTATTTCATCAATTTTACGGTTCCGCGGAGTGCGGCCTTTCATTATTTACGTAATTTTTTTCTTACGTCCTCTGCGAGCTGAAATGTCAAAATAATCGAGCGCGTTCGCCGAAGGAAACAAAACAACATCCGCGAATCAGAATGACGCACGGGAATGTGCCGCGGATACGGGGAGTGCAATTTACGGGCGTACTTTAACCGCTCATTTTCGGACTCGCCGTGACCTGTTATTATCGGCCGGCTTCTTCGTTTCCCGCGCGCATATAAGAGGAGAACATATTGTTCGAACGCGGAACGTCCGATTCCCTCTCGTTAGATAACGATTCGTGTTATTAGCAAGTCATTCCTCGGCATAAGGTGAACGAGGGTATGAGGCTTAATGTAAGTGCAAGTGCAACTACTATATAGCAAGAGAGCCGAGAAGAGAGCAGGCTAGAGTGGTAGAGCCCGTCGCGTCGTCGTCGCGCCAATTGCCGCGATACCCAGCAGCGCGAGTAATAAGTAACCCGTTTCTTCGCATTGCGCGCGTAGTACACGTCGTCTTCCGTGTGTGTATTTTTGCCACTCGACGCATCAATCGGCGTGTCTTGAGCGTTTTTTTTTTTTTTTTTTTTTTNTTTCCCCGGAACGCGCCGTGGTGCCGCATGTTTAATTTATCCGTTCGGCGTGTTCGTATCGCGCGCGACAATTCGCAAAAATTTTTAGCGTTACATATGTATGAGCAAAACTGGAACGCGCACACACGCGCACGTAGATAGAAATACGTTATAATTTTCCGCCTTATAGCGCGGAGATAGGCGCGCGCGCGCGCGCGTTTTTAACGCGCAATATCACGTGTATGCGCTCGTTAACGTCCGGCTGTATTTTGTTCGGTACATTGCCGCGCGCGCAAGTTTTCTTTCGCGAGGACTCGCGCTCTCGAATAAAATCAAGCGAGCGAAATGTGCAATTTGCGAGGATTAACCTTCTTTCGCGCGAATGCGTTTCTTCGCGCACAATGAGCGGCTCTCGTCTCTCTTTTTCTTTCTCTTTTTTTCTACTCTATTGTTTCTTTACCGTCGCCTCTCGACTCGACTTAATTTTTGCGACGCGCACAGCCCACAAACCGACGAATAGTTTCAAGCAGGTCAGATTTCCCGAACGGATTTAACCGGTTCACGCGGCATTGTGTGTGCGCGCGCGTGTGTGCGCGCGTGCGACTGAATCTCGTCGAAGAAGAAGGTCATCGTCGTCGATTCGAGTGATATATACGCCGCGCGTGTGGTGTAATGCGTATCTCGTATTAGTTTCGATCTCATCTCGGTTTGATTATATGTATATACGCGCAAACACAAACGAAACGTCAAAATGAGAAGAAAATATACCGTATCCTCTTCGTATATTTTCCTTCTCGTAATTTACTCCGAGTAATAATTATTAAACCAAAACACGCACGCACGCGCACATACACACACATTGATATTTCTCTTCGAAGACTCGCAAGCTTACGTTGCGAACGCGTAATTGTTAGAAATTAAAGACTATGTTATTAAGCGATTTTTCGCCGTATGAAATAAACGAGACCGTTAATTACCTTTCCCGTAATGGTACGTTGTACGTTGTTTGAGTAATGGACGATTCCGCTTGGATTAGAATCGACTTGAACACCTTCTGAAAACATACAGATTACGTTTTTCAATAATAACGATGTTGACACAACAGACGATTAAGTTGATCAAAGCAAGAATTAATTACTCTCGATCGAGAGAGAAATATTTATACAACATCTAATATGATACAACAGAGTGAAATTCGTCGGAACACACCTTCCGCGTTTGTCTCGAGGCCGCGTTCGGCCGCGACTTCGGGTCAGCACCGATTTTTCTTCTCTCCTTTCTTTCTCGCGGAGAAAATCGCGAGACGGATTTGTGTCATGTCATTCGGAAAAATCAACCGCGCCGGAAGAGAAGAGACGAACGCGAACTTCGTTTAACATTTGATAAACGACCTTAGTCGCGCGAGTCAGCAGAAACGTCGGGATTCTCACCGACGACGGTGCCGTCACGGCCGAGAAAATTGTTGTGCGTAACGACGGGAATTTCTAACGAATCGGCACGAAAAGCCGATTGCCAAACGCATGTTCGAATGCGGTGAAATTCGCAAATTTTTCGCTCTCTCTCGCGCGCGTATATAAATATGATAAGATTTAGTAGAATTCTCTCGCGCAGAGAGCCGGTTTTATTATAGGACACACGCACACACATCGAATCGATCATTTCGCTTGTGCAAGCAATATGAGAATAACGAGACCTCGTCACGGATCGGTTAACGATCGCGCCGTGATTAAGAGGTCGCTGTGGAACTCGGCCAAGATCAACGATCCGTGTGCGAAGAGAGAGAGAGAGAGAAAGACCGGAATCGAGGTCCCCGTAGGCGACCGCTGGTCATCTCTAGAAAGTTGCCGCTCCTCGTCGAGATGATGCTCGAGAGAGCATCTCTCGCGCGCAGAACGAACGCGGGAGAAGTGGAAAAAATACAGTACAGCTCGCGCGCTACAGGCAATGCACATCTTTCTTTCTCTCTCTCTTTCTCTCTCTCTCCTTCTTCACGTTTCTGCAGCTACGCAGCCAGCTGCAGAAATGAGATCTCGTCGCATACACGAAGCCACCAGAAATACTTCGGTATAATACTCTGTCTCCGATCGACTATAATCCCGATTCTCTTCCGCGTGATTGAGAATTCATTCGCGCGAAATGATTAGACGTTATCCGCACCGCGATGTTTTCCTTCGGAAATCGATCGGCAATGTGTGCTATCGTTCGAGCGCCGAAAGAACGGTATACAGCGTTTGTGTGAGAGAGTTTCAAATGATCTTTTAACGACATTAAACGCGATTGATTCGCTCGATTCGATTTTGTGAATTACAGAGCGCGGAGCAAAGAATCGCGCGCAGCCGTTTTTGTTAATTTCGGTCACTCGCGCGTTGTTTTGCGAGGAGAATACGACGACGCGGAGATCGCACGAGAGATAAACGCGCAAGAAGTCTGTCCGCGCGAGTAGATGCGGTCGGTTCGCGATCGGACTGACAATGCGCCGCAGGCGTGGAACTTCTTGTGTGACCTCACACGCAACAGAAGAAGAAGAGCAACGGACGCGAAGTCCGATTATTCGAGCGCAACGCGATCTCTCCCCGTCTCTCTCTCTCTCTCTCTTCTTTCAATCGTTTTCGCAGCTTTGTCAGCCTGCTGCGAGAGCAGCTTGGCTTTATATTGCAACAGTTTAAACGGAACAATTCTCCCGGGCGCAGACTTCCGATTGACGCGCGGCGCAGCTGCTTCGCGCAATGAGACTCGGGCGCACAAAAGCCGATGAGTTATGCACAAGATTGGTTCGGCGATATAGCGAACCGTGCAATAACGGGTTCCATTGGCATTGTATGTTGTTTCCTCTGCTTGTACTTACAAACAAGCCAACTTCCATATGTGGAAACCCGCCTCGTGTGGGCGCAAACAATCATTAGTAACTTTGGTATTAATCCGTTGGCTTTGTTATCATAATCGCAAATCGCGCTGTTGTAACGCTGATGGCAACGTTGAGATATTACCAGATTATCCTGCGCTCTCTTCTCTACGTCTCGCGTATCTTGCTTTTACATTTCTCCTTCGCTTTGCGAAGATAATAAACACAAAAGAGAGACGTCGATATTGAATTAAAAAAAAACAACTTGAATTTACCGCGCGCAACATATGTGTAACAATTTAATAACTAACTCTCGCCACAAATACGAGATACCAATTGTTCTCCAGCGTGTAATAAACAATACGCAAATACGATTAAATCCCAGAGTTTTTGTTATAAATTTTAAACCTCATCTGGTAAACTAAAATGATGATGTATAAAAAATGTAATTAATTATATAAAAAAATACACTTCCAAAACATTTTATAACAAAATTTGCGGAAAAGATATCGGCAAAAGTATGCAAGAAAGAGAGAGAGAGAGAGAGAGAGAGAGAGAGAGAGAAAAGAAAGAAACGTGTCGGTTTGATGAAGCGTTCCATTCGCGATTTTTTCCCCGCGGGGTTCGATCGGCGCGCGGGATTTTCTCCCATTAAGCGGGTGGACACGCTCCATCGATCGTAACGCATATCGCGCAAATTGAAAACTGTTGGGCGGCGTATAATTACGACCGATAATTATCATTGACCGTTGCACGCACCTTTGACCATGCGCAAGATAGCAACTGCGTGTTGTGATCGGCGGTGAGTATTCGTGACCGATACAGATGCGGGTTTAATGGACGGACAAGACGCCGCGCACAACCGGAACCGCACGCTCGCCGGCGGTCACGGCCGGCGTAGGCGTAGGAGGCCTTTATTCACGTCATTCACGGCTTAAGACGTAGCTACGGCGGTCACGCGGCAAAAAAGCACTCCGTTGCATCTCCCGATCGTTGATCTTTGCCCGTTGGTGAACAAGAACGCGAGAGGAGTTCTCTTATTCGCGCGCCTCGCTCTCCTATACCGTTCCATCACATGTGCGGAACTTTAATAGTCTGTCGTAGCGCCCGATATATCACGTACTGGAAAGAAAATATTGGCGAATCAAGAAAGTCTTGTTCGAGTCAATCAATTGCGACGTGGTCAAAATTTAAAATGTTTTGATCAAACGTGTTCGTTATTAATCTGAGAGAAACTCCGGGAAAAAATTTCCGCATGTGTGAACAAACTCGATATCTGATAAATAATTTGTACTTACATATGAAAGATTGAGACAATCGCGCGCAAAATTTATGTACGTAAAGAACTCTTTTCCCCGGGACATTCCGTTGTTTTAACTCTTACAAGATTGAATTAAAAGACAAATCCTACCAGAAAAAGCGTGTGCAAATAATCAGAATCCATTCTATCAATCTTGATTGTTGCTTCTTTTCCGCATTGCCGATTGGTTAGTTGGTTGATCGAGTCGAATCGAATCGGTAAGATCGAGAGAGTAAATAATGAAAAGCGATTTTTTGAGACAGGTCGTCGTATATGTAGAGAAAATTAAAAACGTAACTAAAGTCACGTGACAGGAAAGAGTAGAAAAACAACACGTGAAAATAACGTGACTGTAATTTATATTATATATACATTAAATAATACATATTATACATATAATTTATTATATATTTATAATATTATATTTTATATTGTATTATATGTATTATATACATACTAGTAATGTCACTGACCTCCGCCGCGCGATCTTGGCGGAGTCACTGACCTCGGCCGCGCGAGCTTGGTGGGGGGGAGGGTCACTGACCTCGGCCGCGCGGCCTTGACGGGGCACTGACCTCCGCCGCGCGGCCTTGGTGGGGGAGGGGAGGGTCACTGACCTCGGTCGCGCGACTGCGGTGGAGTCACTGACCTCGGCCGCGCGACCGCGGCGGTGTTACTGACTTCGGTCACGTGATTACAGTATATATATATATATATATATATATATGTGTGTGTGTATTATATATAGAGAGAGATATAGAATATTACATATAATATATATAATATTCTTTCTTTTACCCTTTTTCTTGTCACGTGTTGTTTTTCCACTTCTCTCTTTCACTATTTTTTGAGTTTGATTTTCATGCGTTATTTCTGACATTTCTCATATGTGTATTATATGGTTTATAAGACGTATATACTATCTGTCATCGCGGTGACAGGTTGTGTTCACTGACAACACGTTAAATAAAAATAACAATAGCGTGCGCGTAGCGCGCGCCTGTGTTGCGCTAGTACTTCAAATAACAATTGACTGCGAACCAAATAAATCATTAACGTCGTGATATTTTTTCTCAGTACACAAATGTATAACTAACTCGAAAAATATGACAATTTCCCAAGCTCGTTTCGTTAATATTGCCGACCGTGTACATTCGAACACAAAGTTGATTTTATTACCGTAAAAGCGCGGCGGTAAAATCCGAGACGATCTCATGGAACAGGATATACACGAAGATGAGATCATTTCGTGTTTACAACTCGAAACTCGGCTTCTTCCTTTAAAACAGTACATCGTGAGACGCGATTGTTAACAATGTTTTTCACTTATAGAATATTTGCGGGCGAGAAAGCTAAATGCGGAACACGGTATAGAAAGCGTCAAGCATCGAACACGCTCAGATCGCGTTAATTATGTTTTAGGTTTGTTAACAGTACGTTATATGTGAAACATCGCGCTCGCGCACGCGGAAAAGTGATATCGGTTCAAGTTCAGACTCTCCTTACCTTTCGCGCGCGCGCACGGTAACATTATATTCTTTCCACATTCTAATTTCGTACCTACGCACTGGAACAACCTAATTTCCTCGTAATTTAACACCGCGCTCATTGAGCGCACGATAATGTCTTATTTCGCATCTGTGCAACGTATAGAAGTTGGTTTTTACATTTTGAAACTATAATTGTTTTTTAAATTGCCACGTGTAAATGTTTATGAGAGTAGTGCTTTTATTTTCTTGATATACTTGCACACACGCACACACACACACACGATTATTATATTAAAAAATATAATTCGATTACGTATTTAATTTACGTGTGTACATTTCAAATTGAGAAAAATTAATTACGTTAAAAGTTTACGCGCGAAGAATCTTCGTTACGCTGACTTCATTCAAAAGTAATTTCAAAC